AAGGGTGAGCGGTGCACTTAGGAGTCTGTGGAGACAGAGAACTTTGTCCTTGGAGGCAAAGAGGGGAATGTATGAGAGTATAGTTTTACCAACGATGTTATATGGGTGTGAAGCATGGGTGATGAATGTTGCAGCGAGGAGAAGGCTGGAGGCAGTGGAGATGTCATGTCTGAGGGCAATGTGTGGTGTGAATATAATGCAGAGAATTCGTAGTTTGGAAGTTAGGAGGAGGTGCGGGATTATCAAAACTGTTGTCCAGAGGGCTGAGGAAGGGTTGTTGAGGTGTTTCGGACATGTAGAGAGAATGGAGCGAAACAGAATGACTTCAAGAGTGTATCAGTCTGTAGTGGAAGGAAGGCGGGGCAGGGGTCGGCCTAGGAAAGGTTGGTGGGAGGGGGTAAAGGAGGTTTTGTGTGCGAGGGGCTTGGACTTCCAGCAGGCATGCGTGAACGTGTTTGATAGGAGTGAATGGAGACAAATGGTTTTCAATACTTGACGTGCTGTTGGAGTGTGAGCAAAGTAACATTTATGAAGGGATTCAGGGAAACCGGCAGGCTGGACTTGAGTCCTGGAGATGGGAAGTACAGTGCCTGCACTCTGAAGGAGGGTGTTAATGTTGCAGCTTAAAAACTGTAGTGTAAAGCACCCTTCTGGCAAGACAGTGAAGGAGTGAATGATGGTGAAAATTTTTCTTTTTCAGGCCACCCTGCCTTGGTGGGAATTGGCCAGTGTGTTAATAAAAAAAAAAAAAGTAATGAGTAAACTTTATATGCATTTTATCGCTCTGGGATGCTTAAATGTAATAGAATATTATGTGGCCTGGTATGGTAGCCCGGCTGACTACCATACATACCACACTTGATTTCTTACAACAAATACTACTTGTCTCACCCTAGATTAAGACTAAATATTTTAAGGTAAGTAATGAGTGCACTATGTGTGTATTGTATTTTTTTATTGTTTTTTTTGATGCTTAGTTATATTGCTAATTTAATACATGTTAGTGTAAACTTGTTATCTAGTATTTGTATGCATTTAAAAGTGGAAAAAAGGGTGTTCCACTTTATGGCGATTTCCGCTTTATGGCGGTAGCCTGGAACCTAACCTGCCATATAAGTGGGGCCCTACTGTATACGTTTGGACTGTTTAACCCTTTCAGGGTTAGCAGGCCCTTTTCGAAACATGGCAATTTTGCCAATTTCACACAAATTTCTAAAGATGCCAATTTCCAAATAGGGTCCAAAATAAACAAGACAGACATTCCTGGCACTAAAATAACATTTCCTCTGTTCATCAGTCATGTCCTCAGGGCTCTCTTACATTTCTTTTGCTTTTCACTTTGAATTTTTATTCTCACATATAAATAGAAGATTTACTGTTATTGCAGACTACTGCATTAGTGTAGAAATGGTGTAAATAATATCAGCACACTTGTGAAAGAATGTAAGACTCACCAGTTGACGTGTACTAGACGCGTGGAATGATTTGTTTGCTTTTGAACTTTGGCAAAAATCGAACATTTCTGCTAATTTGAGCTCAATTTCAATTTTCATTGTGAAACCATGCAAAATCATCTGAATTTCTGTAATATGTCTTCCATTCTATAAAATGAGACCAGGAAAACTAGAATACAACTAGAATACTGCAAAGTCGCTTTTTTAAACCAAAAACACGGTCTGAGTTTTTTTATTTCTCATCATGCAGTGTGTGCTGCAGGATTTTTTTTATACTGTGCACACTGACCACATAGACCCATTCTTTCATATGTAGGCCTACCAGCTTTCTCTCGCTAGATTTGAAGGAGATAGAATTTATGCGTACTAGTACAGCACCAACCCTGAAAGGGTTAAGAGTTAAGCCGGTGGGAGAATTTGACATGCCCCGCACAGGCCAGTAGGCCTGTTACAGTGTTCCTTCTTTCTTATGTTCTTATTTAAAGATTTAGTCGATATCCACTTGGAGACTTGCAGTGTCTTCAATGGAAGACACTGTCATGCAAATTCAGGTGTCATCCAGCAAGGAAGACAGGGTACTGTGGCTAACATCTCTATTTATTCAGATATGAGGATGAGGAACAGGATGGGAGAGAGTGCAATACAGTGGACCCCCGCCTTTCAGCAGCCGCGACTTTCATGAAATTCGACTTTCAGCAACCGTCTGGTACGTGTCCGAGTGGCATCCCAGCATCAGCGCGCACACAAAGCCAGTCTCCCGCACCATTCGCACTCAGTGTGCCATTGTTTATCAGCGAGTCACCATCATCGCACACATTCATACGATACATTTTGTAATATTCCATTCTTATTTGTGCTTCCAACTGCTAAAAAAGTCACCATGGGCCCAAAGAAAGCTAGTGCCAGCCCTTTGGTAAAGAAAGTGAGGAACACGATCGAATTAAAGAAAAAAAATCATTGAAAAACATGAAAGTTGAGTGTGTGTTTCAGAGCTTGCCAGGATGTATGGCAAGCACCATTCAACCATCACTTCGATCATGGTGAAGGGAAAAGAAATCAAGGAAGCTGTTGTTGCAAAAGGGGTAGAAATGCTGACAAAAAAGAGATTGCAAATTCCTCGAAGAAGTGGAGAGGTTATTGTTGGTGTGGATTACCCAAAAACAGTTAGCAGGAGATAGTGTTATGCAGTTGATAATTTGTGAAAAGGCAAGGCAGTTACATGACGATCTCGTAAAGAAAATGCCTGCAATGAGTGCTGATGTTTGTGATTTTAAGGCCAGCAGAGGCTGGTTTGAGAGATTTAAGAAGTGTAGTGGTATACACAGTGTGATAAGGCATGGCGAGGCTGCCAGTTCAGACCAAAAAGTGACTGAAAAGTATGTTCAGGAATTCAAGGGGTACATAGAGACTGAACAATTCAAACCACAAGTGTTCAACTGTGATGAAACAGGCCTGTTTTGGAAGAAACTGCCAAAGAGAACCTACATCACGCAGGAGGAAACAGCACTGCCAGGACACAAGCCTATGAAAGACAGGCTAACTTTCATGTTCTGTGGTAATGCTGGTGGGGATTGCAAATTAAAGCCTTTACTTATGTATCACTTTGAAAATCCCAGAGTGTTCAAGAAACAGAGTGCTGCCAAGAGTAAATTGTGTGATGTGGAAGGCTAACAGTAAGGCATGGGTCACGAGGGACATTTACCTTGATTGGTTTAATGAAGTGTTTGGCCCAAGTGTGAAGAAATACCTCGTGGAAAATAAATTGGAACTCAAGCGCCTCTTGGTAATGGACAATGCTCCTGCTCATCCTCCAGACTTGGAAGAGCAAATGGTGCAGGAGTTTCATTTCATCACAGTGAAGTTCTTGTCCCTTAATACAACTCCTCTCCTCCAGCCCATGGACCAGCAGGTCATTTCAAACTTCAAAAAAATGTACACCAAAGCATTGTTTCAAAAGTGCTTTGAAGTGACCTCGGACACTGAGGTGACCCTAAGAGAGTTCTGGAAAGATCACCTCAATATCCTCAATTGCATAAACCTTATAGGTAAGGCTTGGGAGGGAGTGACTTGCAGGACTTTGAACTCTGCTTGGAGAAAATTATGGCCACAATGTGTACAAGAGAGGGATTTTGAAGGGTTTGGGGCTAACCCTGAGGAGTCTATGCCAGTTGTGGAAAGTACTGTGGCACTGGGGAATTCCACGGGGTTTGGATGCGAGTTTTGAGGATGTGGAAGAGTTGGTGGAGGACCAGGATGAAGAGCTAACTACTACAGAGCTGCAAGAGCTTCATGTGCAATGGCAAGAGACCACAGCTCAGGAAATTGCCTCGGAGGAGGAGGGAGGAGGGAGGAGGGAGGAGGGAGGGAGGAGGAGGAGGAGGAGGAGGAGGAGGAGGAGGAGAAGATGGAGGAAGGTGTCTTCTTCAAAGATTAAGGACATTTGTGCAATGTGGACGAAGGTACAAACATTTATGGATGAACTTCACCATGACAAAACTGTTGCAGGCCATGTACAATGACAATGTTGTGTCTCTTTTAGGAATGCTTTAAAGAAATGCCAGAAAGAGCTCTCTCTAGACAGATGTTTTGTGCGACAAGTGTCCATGACTCTCAAGCTGGTCCCTGTGCCATTAAAAAACAAAGAAGTGAAGTAACCCTGGAAAAGGACTTGGTACCTGACGTCTTTCTGGAAGAGGATTCCCCTTCCAAACAATAGTGTACCTTCTTCCTCTCCCCTCCTCCTGCCTTCCATCCCCCCAGAAGTCTTCAACAAAGGTAATGTCATTATTATTTTAAATATGTATGTACTTCATTTCTCATTGTTTTCTGTATGTAAATCTTTATTTAATTTCAAAAAAATATATATTTTTTTAATATTTTTGGGTGTCTGGAACGGATTAATTGGATTTCCATTATTTCTTATGGGGAAAATGGTTTCGCCATTCATGAATTTCGACTTTCAGCAGACTCTCTGGAACGGATTAATCATGAAATTTGAGGGTCCACTGCACCTTGTGGAACAGAGCTTTTCACTGTAGCTGCCTCTGGCTTTACTCTGTTTACTATTACTCTCTGTTCTCTTTATTAGGAAGATATAGAGCCATCTGCCAACTTTTCCTGTTATTCCTCTATCACACATTTTGTGTGCTATTACATCATGATCGCACTTGTCAAAGGCTTTCGCAAAGTCTGTGTATACTACATTTGCATTCTGTTTGTCCTCCAGAGCATCCAAGATCATGTCATAGTGGTCTATAACTTGTGGAAGGTACTATAACTTGCGGAAGGTACTATAACTAGTGGAAGGAGGTATATCTTCCATCAGTGAATTTCACATCTGGAGAAATACACAATATTCTTGCTGGCTGTTAGCTATAAACTCGCAGGTAAAAACATTATAGTCTTACATTAATAACTGAGGAGGCAGTTTTGTTACAAATGTTAGAAATGAGAGAATAATTAAATATTTGAAACAAAAAATATGCTGATCAAGTTATTATAATAAAAAGCAATACAGAAATAAAATGAAAATGAATTATAACTTACTGTTAACTTATACAAAGAGAATTCAGCAGTAAGTCTGTCAACTTGACTCCCAATGGCTGAGGAAGTGTGTCCCAGGCGAATGGGGACAACTGTGGTGCCCATTACCATGGTCATCATGTCCAGAGCCTCCCTCAGGGCCACCTTCACCTAGCATTACAAGCAAAAACATTTATGGTGGAAGAAAAACTTGGCAGGTGACACAAGACTTGTCAGGAACAAATCTTCAAAACAGCAAACTAAATGTAAAATATAAAGAATGACTGAACTGATATGTATGCAAGGGATGGGGTTCATCTCTCTGGGGATGGAGTGGTTGCATTAGCCAATTCAATGGAGAGGGGAATTGATGACTTGTCTAGGAATTTAACCCTTTCAGGGTCTAAGGCCAAAATCTGAAGTGGTGCCCCAGTGTCCAAGAATTTTCAAAAACAAAAAAAAATTTGTTATTTTTTCTTATGAAATGGTAGAGAATCTTTTTGCAAAGGTAATAAAACAAAAAGTACGAAATTTGAAGGAAAATTGACGAAATTATGCTCTCGCGAATTTTGATGTGTCAGCGATATTTACGAATTGGCAATTTTGCTGACTATGACTCCTATTTTAGGCCAATTACATTATTCCAGTAGACCAAATTCTTAGCTATTTCACTATTATTACTTCTATTCTATCGACTGAGCACAAGAAATTGCCAAGTCAACTGTTTCAACTACAAAATACAGTGGAACCTCAAAAATCGAACTTAATCCGTTCCAGGAGCTAGTTCTAAATTCAAAAAGTCTGAAATTTGAAACAATATTTCCCATAAGAAATAATGGAAATACAATTAATCTGTTCCAGAAACCCAAAAATATTCACACAAAAAATACATTTTATAGTGATTAATTACAGTTTTACATACAACAAATACAGTAGGGCCCCGCTTTACGGCGTTTCACTTTACGGCATTCCACTAATACGGTCATTTCAAATTATGACCAAAACTCGCTATACGGCTCCCCCACCTGACTTTCTAATACGGTCACCGTGCCCCACCCTGTTTTTTTACATTCTCCGTGAGCTCAGTAAGCACTAAGTCTCTCCATTTTGTCTGGAAACTCCAAAATTTCAAATGTTTTTAAAAGTTATTTCATATTTTATATATACTCTGATAATTATACTTATGTATACCTGTACCTAAATAAACTTACATACTGTGCTGGCATGCAGGTACACATTAAAATCGGTAAGAGTCTTATGTCTCCAGACGTCATATTAGTAATGATAATAATCATCGAGTCATTTGAATGTCGTATATTACGTTAATATACACATTTTCATTAATCCATCTATGATATTTTTTTCAAAATTATATAATAAACACGATGCATAACATATAAATAAGATAAATACACCCCACAGTAGAATAAATAAACATAAATGTGAGATGTGGTAGCAGACGACTTGCACAAATGACGCCATATTAGAAATGATAATAATAATAACAACAATACTCACCGAGTCTCATTAAATGTTGTATATTACGTTAATATACACATTTTCATTAATCCATCCATGATATTTTTTCAAAATTATATAATAAACACGATACATAACATAAAAAGACGATAAATACACCCCACAATAGAATAAATAAACATAAATATAAGATGTGGGAGCCAGATAACTTGCACATGTGACGGCAACGATAACATTTTCTCTAATCTAACATAAGAGAAAATGTGCTACTGGAGGTAACTGTAGAAAATTATTCCTTTCGTATCTATGTAAGTTTATTCAGGTATACACAAATACAGTTACATAGATTATCATACATAACAACATACGTGTAGAGAACCTAGGAAACCCAAAAAAAAGTCAGTGTGTTTTAAATTTCCATTGCCTTCACTCAGAGTTCATTTCTTCTAAAAAATGATTTTACATGAGAATGGGAGTGTTCTTTTTTTTTAAATTCTCCCCATATCAATGTAGGGGAAAACCTGTACACAATGAAACCCTTGTACAAAAACCCCGGGCGTGTAATTTTTGTTTGTTTACAAAACTTAGTTGGGCCTGGTTTGTTTACAAAAACTTGCGCCTGCCCCCCACTCATGTATCATTTTTTTCCTCTCTCTCATTTATTCTTTTTTCCCCTCATTTATTACTCCTGCCCCTTCATTAAGACTACAAATATTTTAAGGTAAAAAATGAGGGGAAACTGTATAACATTTTATCGCCCCTTGGGATGCTTAAATTTCATGGGAATATATGGGGGGTGGGTTGGCATGGTATGGTACCCCGGTTTGGACTACCATACATACCACATTTGATTTTTACAATAATATTTAACTCACTCCCCCCTATATTTTAAGGAAAGAAATGAGTGAACTGTTTTTTCATTTTATCCCCTCTGGGTGTTTAAAAATATCAAAAAAATAGTATGTGTGGGTGGGGTGGCCTGGGTAAGGAAAGCCTGGCTGTTTTCCCTTACTTTCCACACTTGTTTTTCAATAAATACTACTTGCTCACCCTAGTTTTAAGACTTTTAAATTTTTTAAGGTAAGAAATGAGTGCATATGTGTGTATTGTACTTTTTTATTTTTTTCCCCCGATGCCTGGTTCTATTGTAATTTAAATTATATGTTGGGGGAAAAAGGGTTATTTTGTGTTTGTATGCATTTATAAGGGGAAAAAAGGTTTTTTCCACTTTACGGGGGTTTTTTTCTGCTTTACGGCGGTGGGCCGGGGAACCAAACCCTGCCGATAAGGGGGCCCCTGCTGTCCCTTTTATTTTTTAAAATTATGTTTTGTAATTTTTTTTTTTTAACAAAACCCCGGGCCCAATTCCCCCCAAAGGGCAGGGGTGGCCCGAAAAAAAAAAACTTTCACCATCATTCCTCCATCACTGTCTTCCCAAAAGGGTTTGCTTTACATTCATTTTTTAAAAACTGCAACATTAACACGGGGGCACTGTCCTTCCCATCCCCAGGACTCAAGTCCAGCCTCCCAGTTTCCTGAACCCATTTTAAATTTTACTTTGCTAAACACCCCAACAGACGTAAATTTTTAAAAAACCCAATTTGTCTCCATTCACCCTATAAAACCCACGCCCCACACTGCTGCTGGAAGCCCAAGCCCTCGAACACAAACCCCCTTTTTTACCCCCTTCCCCCAACCTTTTTCCTGGGCCCGGCCCCTCCCCCGCCTTCCTTCCCTACGAGATAAACTCTTGAAGTAAATTCTTTTTTTTGCTCCTTTCTCTCTACATGCCCAACCCCCTCAAAAAACCCTTCTCACCCCTCTGGACAACATTTTTGGTAACCCCGCCCCTCCCCCTAATTTCCCAAAAATACGAATTCTCTGCTTTTTTTTCCCAACCACCTTTGCCCTCAGACAGGGGACATTCCCTCCCTCCACCCTTTCCCCCTTGGGCTGCAACTTTATACCCATGCTTCCCCCCAAATAAAAGACCCTTTGGTTAAAACTTTACTCTCATACTTTCCCTCTTTGCCCCCAAGGCAAAGTTTTTTGTCTCCACAGACCCCTAAGTGAAAGCTCCCCCTTTTTCCCTCCTCATCTTTCCCTTGTTTTCACCTCATTTTTCATAGACCCATCCGCTGAAATCCATTCCCAAATATCTAAATTACATTCACCTCCCCCAAACTCTTCCCCCCAAAAACTGAACCCAATCTTTCATCACCTAATTTTTTTGGTTCCCCCAAAACCCTTTATTTTTTTCCTGTATTCATTTTAATTTTCTTCTTTTGCATCCCCTTAAAAAATTTATCCCCCAAACCTCTGAAAAACTTCTCTTCAAAATTTCCCCCAAAGAGCACAGGGAAAATCACTCCTAGAAAGAAAAAGGGGACTTGGCAGACGTTTGAAACCACCCCCCCAATAAAAACCCCGGGGTTTGTCACTAGCACTTTTTAAGAGATCTTTCAAAAAGGTCGGGGGCCCCGAGATGTTCAACTGCCCCCAGCATACAAAAGGGGGGATTACCAACAGACCCTGGCGTCTTCAAGCTGGAAACGGCAAGCACCAAAAGTGGGTTCCCTGACCCCCGGGTTGTGGCTCGTACTTTGGTTTCCGTGCGCAAGCAGCAACAGGGGGGTTGATCAGGCTTGTTTCCCCGGGTGGGCTGGTAAAGGGCCCCGGGCCCCCCCCCCGGGGGGGGGGGGCCCCCGGAATCTAAACAGGAAAATCCAGATAAACTCCGAAACGTGTCATCGCAAGAGCAACTGGAAAAACTCCCACTTTATGGGTGATTCTTTATCTTTTAAAACCCCCTCACCCTTTTCTTTGGCCAAATGCCCCTCACGAGGGTCTATGTATAGAAAAATACATTTTAAAATTTAAACATTTTTATTTATTTTTTATTGAAGATTGGTGATGGCATCTGGAAGATAGGGAGGAGGGGGAGGGGATTTGGGGGGTTTTTAAAGTTTTTGGGAAAGGGGGGAACCCCCCTCCATGAGGACTTCAGGTAAACCCCCTCTCTAGGGTTATTCCCTTCTCTGTCTTTTAATCCCAACTGGGACCAGTTTGAGAGTCCTGGACCCTTTCCCACAAAAAAAATGCCACAGTCCTCTGTTTTGGGCCTTTTAAAACATTTCCCAAAAATTTGGGCAGGGGCTCTGTCATAAAATTGTTGCAAAGATGGTTTTTTTCAGCTTCCCAGGGGGGGGACGTCTGCAAAAAAACATTTGGACATCATTCCACTTGGCAAAAAATCCCTTTAAATCTTTGAAGAAGGCACCTACCCACCCCCTATATTAACACCTTCGCAACATCAGTTTCCCTTTAAATTTGTTCTTTCTTTAAACAGGATAAAACCCGATGGTCGATTTTTTTTCCCCATACTTCCTGGCAACCCTCAACAAGTTAACCCCATTTCCCCTTTATTCCCTGTATTACGTTTTTTCCTTTTTCACTCTATGGTGTTTCTCACTTTCTTTCCCACAGGGGTACCACTAGCAAGTTTTTTTGGGGCCAATGGCTTATTTCAAAAGCCCCAAAAGCGTAAACCAACGAAAAATTTTTTAATTTTTCCCCTGTGAATGAGAGCGCAGGTTAGTGTTCACTCGACCCAAAAACAAAGTTTAAGACTGCTTATGGCACCTGCGGGGGACGCGGACAGAGGGGGCCCGGAGACGGGTCCCTTACCGGCG